CCGGCCCGCTCCTGCAGGCGCACCTTCCCAGGAGGGTGGCCGTCAAACATGGCCTCGTAGAAGCCCCTCTCGGCTGCGTCGTACCGTGGCTTCTCGAGCCACACCCCCTGCACGAGCGCCTGCAGGCTGCCCAGTGGGGGCTGGCTGTTGGCCGGTGGGCTGGGCTGGCGGATGAGGTGCAGGTCCGGGGCGGCTGCCTGCTGGCCTGTGTCGGGAGCTGCCTGCCGGCCGCCCCCCTCTACAGCCAGCAGCAATGCCTGAGACCATTCCACGAACGCCCGCTCTGCCTGGTCAAAGGAAGACTTGTTGACCCAGATGCCCAAGGTCACGTGGTGGCAGGCAACCTGGCTTCCATGAGTGCAGGGACCCCAGGGGGCCTGGGCAGCCACGTCTGCCAGCCTCTGGTGGTAGGAACTCTCCGCCTGGTCAAAAAGCGGCTTGTCCAGCCAGACGTGGTCAGCTGAGAGGCCCACAAGGGCCAGGTCCGCCTGGCTGAGCCAGCCCCTTGGGGAGCGCTTCCTCTTCTTCTGCAGGGGCTTCTTCCCGTTGGGGCTCTTCCCGCGGTCGCTCCTGCTGCCGTCGGGGGCGTCTGCCTCCTCCACATCCTCCCCACCTGGCCCGTTCACAGCCGGGGCTGCGGCCAGGAGCTGCTGGGCGGTGGCGGGGGCGGCGGCTCGCGCAGCCTCATGCTCGTGGAAGGGCCCCTCGGCTTCCTCATACTTCTGCTTGTCCTCCCAGACGGTCTCCAGGGCGCAGGAGGCCTTCCCGCTCCTCATCTTCACGCAGCGTTAAAAAGCAAGCAGGAGAAGGCAGTTGCAACACCACGGGCCGTCTGCAGACGGCGCCCCCACCCCCCTGCTCAGCCTGACTGGCGGGGCTGCGGGGGACGCCCGCTACGGAGGTGCCTGGGGGTTCTGTGAGGCAACAGGCAAAGACCCGGAGTGGAGTGCACAGGCAACCCTGTGAAGCGACTGACAGACACACACATACACATGTGTGTGCTGTGTGTGCCGTGTTTGCATGCATCCTCCCAACTCCAAAGCTTGTCTTTTCTGATCCAACGGGCAGGGCACCCAGGCTCTCCAGAGGGATCTGGGGAACACTTCCCAAATATCTTTGGCTACAGAAACCTTTCCTATGAACCTCCAAGGAGGGCAGCCAGATAAAATACAGGACGCACTCACTTGATTCTCACATCAATGGCAAATGACTTTTAGAATGAATATATCCCGTGAGACATCTGAGACTCTTATACTGAAACGTTATTTGCTGTTCATCTGAAATTTTAACTGGACGTCCTGTGTTTTTGCTAAGTCTGGCCACCTCCCAGAGGCACTGGGGTTTCTGTTTTATAGACATGCACTTGGTGGTCTTGGAAGATGGCCCCTCACGGTGCCCGGGCCTGAGTCCCCCACACCCGCACGGCCACCCCGCCATCCTGAGCAGGGCATATCCCGAGAGGAGCTGTGAGGGTCTGAGATGAGGGGCAATCTCCCAGTGGGCAGCTGGGAGCAGAGGGTGTAGTGCCCAACCCCACGAGGTCACATCAGGAGAGACACCAGGAAGTGACCATCTCAAAGGAGAGGAGGTCAGGCAGGGAGTGAGGACCAGTTTCCCTGGTCAGTGGCAGCTGCTCCCTGATCAGGAGGCAATCAGCTCACATCTGTGGGTGCACCCGAACTAAAAGGGGCCATGTGGGAACCTCCAAGTACTGTCCTCGGCACTCCAAGTACCCTCCTCTCATCAGCACTTCTGGTGTAAGGGCTCTGTCACTGGGACAGTGGGAGAAGGGTGTGGGGCTTTGCACCCCACCGGCTACTGGGGCGGGTGGACAAGGCTCAGCTTAGAGGGACCTGTGTCATCTGCTGCCCCAGAGGCCCTGACTCTGCCTCACGCTACCTTCACCCCAGATGGCAAACTCTTCCCACCACTCAGTCCAGGGTCTACACCCCCTTCCTAACACCCCCTAACAAAAGGAAAACCCATCTCCTATTACTCTGTGGGACATGGGGGCTAAGTCCCACCCCTGCCCTGGACTTCAGGGAGATCCCCCCTCGTGCTCTGAAGGGGCACGCTGGGGACCCCTCTAACAGCACATGCCGCAGGCCTCTTATGGCAGGGACTGAGGCCCCAGGCTCAGAGAGGTTCCTGCTGAGGGAGAGGCCCTGCTCTAATGTGGGCCCGGGGGCGTGAGCCTTCCTCCTTAGGCTGGAGGCAGCACTTACCAAGGCCAGGCTGACGGCAGAGGCAGTGGTGGGAGGTGGTAAGTGTGCCCAGGAAGGGGGGCATTGTGACATCACCCACTGCCCTCTGACAGCAAGCTCCTGGCTGACCCCTCACCAGGGCAGGTCTGGGCTGGTCCAGCCCCTTCAGCCCTGCCCACCAGGCTGAGCCTCCAGCGCCAGAGTCCCACATAAATCTACTGACTTAAACATTGTCCTTGCTCCTGACATCAGACTAGGCTCTGCTCAGAGCTCTGAGGGCCACAGCTCAAGATGCCCATGAGCCAGGGACAGGGTCTGGGACCAGGGGCTGGCAGGGCTGCAGCTCCAAGCCCTGCCTACAGACGGTGCTCAGGGGAGGCCCACCCGACTCACAGGCAGGAACTGGCTCAGCCCAGGAAAGCCAAGCCCACACCGACAGGATTGGACTCTGCTCCAGACAAGGAAACCGAGGCCTGCAGCCTGGCCCCACAGGTGTGTGAGGACATCAGGCAGGTTGAGGACCGGTCTGGGGGTCTCTGGGCTCAGGTGAAGGGAACGCAGCAGGGTACTTACTTTCACTTTGATCTCCTAGGACAGCATGAAGAGAAAGCAGCAAGGTTAGAGGCAGTCAGACAGGGAGGCCTGAGCAGGCTGGAGGGCCTTTTCAGACGTTGCTTGGTGAGGTAGCGTGGAGGCGAGGGTGAGGGAGGAGACACAGGGCGAGACCCACCACCGAAATCCCAGGAGGCGGCTGGGTCCACTGCTCAGGGCAGCACTGCTCCATCGTCATGTGAAATGGGCAGATCCTGGGGGGCACCATCTGAGTGCCCTTCCCACCGCTCCCCACCAAGCTGAGCCAACCTGGGAGAGGGGAGCCAGCACTAGGCGTCCCCACTGTCCACCTGGAGCCGTGGCTGTGGAGGGGATCCCCCTCTCTGCACAGCCACTGGGTCCAGACCGCTGGACCAGGCCCAAGATGACCTTGTTGAAGGTCTCAGCAGCCACCAAGCCCCAGTGCCTTTTCCTTCAGCAGGGCCACCGCTGGGGCAGGGTGAGAGGCTAGGTGGGCAGGGTGCCACTGTCCCCGCAGGTTCCCACCAAAGCACTCTCAGGGACACAATGCCTTCCTGGTGTGCATAAAAGGACAGGTGGGGAGACATTAGGTGCCCCACCCGAATCCGTAAGAGGCAGCAGCCCAGGAGCTGAGGAAACCACACACATAGGCAGCGGATCTGTCCCGCTCTGTCCCAGGGGCCCCCAGCTGCCCAGCGACTAGAGACCTGAGGATCTGTCTCCCTCCTCCCATAGGAGCCCTGCCACCCACACCCCTGCCCTCCCCTGTCTACCCCACACTGCAGCCAGCGCTGGAGCGCCTGCATCAGCCACCACTGGACAGGGATATACAATGTGCCCTGCGGGAGCAGGGTGAACACAGGACATCAGCAGGTGGAAGTGCACAGGAGGTCCTGGTAGGCTCCTTGCAGACACCCACCGCCGGGGCTTCTCAGGTGATGAGGTTCCCAGGGGGAGGATGTGGCCAAGCACTGGCTGAAGGAGGGCTCTCCAGACACCGCAGGAGAGCATCACCTGGAGGCTAGCCACACACAGTGGAGTGCCTCCTGGCGTGAAGCCAAGAGCACCCAGAAAGACTCCAAGGGTAGGGGGACAGGCAGCTCTCAGAGTCCCCTGCCTTGCTGCTGTGTCTCCCAGGACAGGTGACACAGCGCCCTAGCATCAGATGCAAAAGCCCACCTCCACTCCCTGTCCCTGAGTGCCTCCAGGTTCCATGAGGCCCATCTCTTCCTGGAGAAAAGCAAGTCTGAGTCTGAACACCTCCTCTCGAGGACACACACCCCAGTCTAGAGCCCTCCAGTCAGGATGCCGTGTGCCTACAGGACAGCGGGCTCTGCTCTGCCGCACTTCCCCCAGCTAGAACAGAGCGGAGCCCCGGGAGGAGAGCTCCCAGACGCCGGGCAACTAGCCTCAGGGGTCCCTCCCACTCACTGGCCGGGCAAAAGCGCATGCTGCCCGCCACTAAGGCCCAACCCTGGTCCATAAGGTGCATTAAGACCGTTCCCACGAGAGGGGGCAGTGAGGTGGTGGGAAGCCCTGGAGGCACTGCACCCGACCTGGCCACAAGGACCTGTGGTGGAAGCAGCGATGCAGCAGTTCCTCTGCAACCCTCCCAGCTCAGCACCCAGTGCAGAAAGCACCCACGGCTGTGCCAAGACAGACACGTTCTCCAAAGCCTGTGCAGGGACTCAGGGCCCTTCTTGGCCTCTGTCCTGGAAGGGCAGTTCTAGCAGTGCCAAGACAGGGAAACTAGCAGCAGCCCCCACCCTGGATACTCCTGGCTGGAAAGTCTTGAAGTAATGCGAGGACACGGACTGGCAGAGCCACACCCACCAAGGTGCCAGGGAGCCCAGAGGCCCTGGGAGGCTGGGTGAATGAGGAAGGTTTCTGGGAGGGGTGGGGGTTGTCCCCTCCCTGGCTCTGCCTTCTGCACCTTCCCATTTCCCAAACACTGCCCCAGGTATCCCCATGCTCACATCATCTCATCTCAGTCGCACACACAGAGGGACTCCCAGATCATCCACCTAGGGAATCAAAGCTCTCTCCACCTTCCACAGGAAGTGAGAATGGGTGTGAAGTGCAGGCAGCGGGGCCACCCCCCGCTGTTGTGGTCTAGACCACTGCTGCACAATAGAGCTTCCCCACGGGCGGTGTCCGGGAGGGCAGTGGTGGGCACTGGTCATGTTTCAGGCGATGAGAACAGCGACACAGTGGGGCTACTGTGTGGGAGTGACGCCCTCTGCTTCTCTTTAGGGGGCAGTGCCACGCCCCAAGTTCCTAGTCAGATGCTTTCCTACCTCTGGCTCCTGGACAGTCCAGCACCACCCAGAAACGCCAACCTGCCCTGCTGTCTGTGCTGCAGCGCCATGGCCCTCAGTTCTATTTGTCTCAGTTGGTGCTGCCCTGGTCTATCTACCCTGACTGCCAGGCACCTCTACACCCTTCCCTGTGGGCGACTCCAACACTGCACCTGCTTTATTAACCATCCTGTGTACACCTGATGCCTCATGTATGTCTCCAAGCCTCACAGCTGGGAAACAGGAGTGGGGGAAACTGCAGCTCCGGGTGAGGTGAGGACCTGGCAATCTGTGTCTCACTGGTGCCTGTACTTCATGCCAATGTCACACTGCTGTCCACTTTGAATTCACATATGTAATCTTAAAATATCAGCACAGGGCCAGGGCTCAGGCCAGCATTTCTTGCTTGACCCCTAAAAAGCTGACACCAGAGCACAATACGTTGGAGATATTCACAACATGATCTTTTTTAAAACACCACCTTCAAGAAACCTCCACTCACAAAAACACTGATCAAGCACGTCTGCCCACCTTTGCTGAACCCTGCAGCCTCACCCAGCTCCCCAGCAGTGAAGCCAAGGAGGCTGGTCCTGCACCAGCCTCCTCCAGAGGGTAGTCACCCCACTGACCACGAGAAGACACCACTCTGCCCAGGCTCCCGTGAGGCCCAGGGCTGACTGCCCTGCAGAGATGGCAGAGCACCTGCTCCTTGCAGTTTGTGTGCCAGGCACTCTGCAAGAAGGAGCTTTTTCAGGGAACAGCTGCCAACAGAGCTGGGCACAAGGGGCTCAGGAACAACTGAGTCACATCTGAACCAGCCCACTTACCGGCTGATGGCGCCCAGAGGAGTCGGGCTGTCAGGGCCGCTTCTGAGGTAACACCAAGCATCCTTCCCTGACCCAGGCCAGGCCTACTCCCTAGCGGGTTACCTGCCAGGGTCAATGTAAGAGGTGCTCCCGCAACAGGCAGGGACCACCCCAAATTTAGCTACACAAATAACTCTCTTGCTCCAAGGTGGCCCTTGATTCTGCAAACCCTGCGGTGCTGCCTCCATCGAGTCCCCACACCTGCCACCCCATTGGCTTTCCCTTCTTCGTTCTATTTAAAAAGCCCGTTTTCCAGGAAGGCGACACCCTCCCCTTCAGACACTGGTTTGACATCGCTTCCTGCCCGGACCACCTTATCCAAGTCAAGGCCCTCGGTCACTCTCAGAGAACGCTGTGTGTTTCTTTCTAGTCACTCAGCAATCACGTCCTTATTTCCTGCATTCACGAACTGTCAAGGTTTCCCGAAGGTTGGGCCCGCGCCTGTCCTCCGAGGCCCAGAGCCGGCGTGCAGGAGGTGCTCAGTAAACGCGGACAAAGGA